AAGACCCACCCATATTGAAAATTCTTGTTTAAGTATGAGAAAATTATCGTTTTTGTTCTTTTTAGCGTGTGTAAACTTTTTCATAGGCAAAAATTTTTAGTCTTTGTGAGATTTTTGTAAATTGTTGAAATTTTACTTAAAGTATACTTTAATATTAGAAGAAATATCAAGTAAAATTTGGATTCAATTGAGATTAAAATTTTCACTTCTTATCTGTCGCACTATAGGCATTCTGCCCGCCTTATTCGCCAATCTTCTTTATATCACCATGAATTATTCGATATAATAATTTTTTTTAAAAATAATATTTTCAAATGTATAGTTAATTGATATTCACTATCTAGCTAATTAAAAAAAAAGAATTAATATTTAATAAATATTAATTATTAAAAAATGTGAGCTTAATTCAACTATACATTAATTTATCCATGTACCTCTATACGTCTTTCCTCCTCTTCCACTGCGTCCGACCACTTGTAACTGAATTTTAAGATATCTAGTTTTGTGTCCTAAAAAGCAATGAAACATACAAAGTTCTAATAAAAAAGATATATTTTATACGGCAGCATGTTTCATAAAGAAAGTGTTGAATAAAGTGTCACTTTTTTAAAAATCTAAGATCAATTTCAGCATTTTGATTCGAAATAAACTCATTCGGACTTTCGCTCTATTTTACTGCTTACAATATGATAGATTTATTGTTATTTGACGATTCAGATGATGGTACCAATGCTCACTGGCGGATTAAGAGGGGGGGGGGGGGGGTTTAATAAATTGACGTTTTTGGTGTGGCTGTGGGCCCCTATCCTGACCTCAAACTGACCCCCCCCCCCCCCTTTTCAAAATTTCTGGATCCGCCACTGAAGCTGTACCTATACATAGAACTAAGCTTACCACATCTGTGACAGGATTCTCTCCGAAATCTAGGATTTCATTGTAGTCCATGGTTTTCATTCTAGAAAAATAAAGGACATTGAGCCAAAAGAAATAGAATTGTATTTAAAATTGGTACAAGTCTGTGCTATTACAAGTAAACTAAAAGAACTGAATATAAATTTATCTCCGTGTTTTTCTCAATGTTTGTTCTAGTGATGATTATTGCGTTACACTCATTGTTGCGTTTAAGCAACTATTACGTCACAGGTAGACGTATTCTCTACACGTGGCAATATTTTCCCTATTCAATTATTGAAGACGCTAACTTTTTCTTTTCTTGAAGTTGTGATACAGAAATAATTTCTTCTGTAACAAATTTTAGATTAATTTTATTTTAAAGTAGGAGGGGCTACTTTTATTATTTGGATAACTGATTCTAACATACATAAAATATTTTTCTGTCGAAAATCAGTTGGAGTAAAAAAAAAATTTCAAAACTACGTACAGTGATTTTGTGTTAAATTTAAAACCAACCAAACTTGAGTTTAAAGTAGTGATCTAATGTGTATAGTATATAATATTTTGAATTAGTTGAATTTTTAATTGTACAAATATTTTGAAATAATGCGACAGTCTCCACCTGGCCATGCTATTCACTAGTTACATGTAGAGTCTCACGAATTTTCTTAATTTCAACCGTGTATACCCCCTTTCCCACCCACCTACATCTTGAAACTTACAATTTTATAAGGCTGTTACAAGCCTCACTCTGTTCAAGTCCCTTTTTTTGTTCCCCGTTGAAAGTAGGGGAAATTAATTTCGGTCTGTACGTCCGTCCGTCTGTAGCTCTGTCACAAGCACCCCCCCCTTTTTAATAAAAAAAAATTTAAGAGTACATGTGTAATATCTCAAATATATATATATATATATATATATATATATAAAATTCCCCGTAAAACAAATATATATGTAGGCCTATGCTTTTCTCGCGTTTCAAGAATGACCTTATACGGTATAATAACGCGTTAATCTTTATTTTCTCTTTCATGAATTTTTTTGCTGAGAGTCTAATTAATTAAATAATTTCATTCAAGATATTTAGTAATATAGAGAAAAATTATTTCCTTGTGTGAGATCACTCTCTACCACCGGCTCATACATACATACGTGTCTGAGAGAGGAACGAACGACAACTCTGCATCGGAAATTGGTGTCATTTTCTATCCAGAGTTGTCGTTCGTTCCCCTGTACGCTCCCATATACAAGCTTTAATTTTCTTCGTCAATGATTAAAAAGTCCCATATATATATCAAGATTATCATCTTTAATTTTCTTCGTCAATGATTACAATAAATTAATTATTATTTTAACTTCAAATTTTCACTATTTAAAATTTGAACAAGAACCTTGTACAACATAGGTGTAGTGAGCGTAGCGGAGTGTTAGAGAATGAGATTGGTGTGAGACCTAAAGAGGGACAGGTAACTCTCATTTTCACTACAATTTCAGGAGTTATATCCCCTTGAAAAGTTAAACAATGCGGCATGCAGTCTGGCCATCAACGGAGAGTTTTGACACCCGTAATACCCGTATTCTTAAGGAATCACTGTCTTGTTAGTTTAGTATGCCAGGGCATCAACGACAGTGGGAAACATGGGATAATTTGCATAACGGGCGAAGCCAGTTATACATAAATTATCCCATGTTTCCCACTATCGTTGATGTCCCTGGCATACTATACTAACTAGACAGTGATTCCTTATATTTCCATTTCATAGTGAAATAAAATTGTATATTTAGACTTTAAAAATGTAGACTAATCGATTTCAATTACACGAGGACTTCCATGCCAATTCCAAATGTCGTCGCCCACTGACAGCAAACACAAAGGCAGCCGCACGAGATTTACATGCATATTTGGTCTCCTTTAGCGTCAGACACAGAGACATATGCGCACCAGATTTGCATGAGTATTCGGCCTCCTTAGCTCCTGAACTATCGACCTGCCTAATTTACATTCCGGCAGAATTATCAAGAAATAAACTCCCCTAAGGGGACGACCATTTGATCCTTTTGGCAAATTTTTTTGAGATGGTTTATTTATTTTCATGCCTGTCGAACAGATTATTTATTTTCAAGATTATCAAGGACAGATTATTTATTTTCTTCTATGTTTTACCATATCTTGGTCAATTGATTCTAAACGACTAATCATTATAATACCATATTCGGATACAGGATTTGGGGAGGGGACAGGTATAATTTTGTTTAGGCAAGAGGTCTGGGGCCGCCGTAAGGGCCCCAGTGGGTTGGGGAATAGAAGCCCTAAACAGGAGGCCAAGGGAGTAAACCCCCATTTTCACCCCCGAAGCTCTTGGGGTTTAGTGTATTTTAAGAGTAAAACCAGGCACTATTATAATGGTATTGGTTATTATGAACCAAAGTATGAATAATTACTGTGTTCATACCGTACTTTGAATGAAGTAAGTTTTGGGAGCATATGAAGTTTTTGGGTTTTTTAATTGTATAAGAGTAAAACTTTTGTAGAAATTGGTTAGATGTGTACCAAAAAATGACATTATTAAGTCATATCATACGAATAAAAAGGGCCCAGAAATCCCCCTAAAGCTCTCAGGTTTTTGTGTATTTTAAGAGTAAAACTAGGCACAAAAATATTGGTATTGTCAAAAAAGTATGGCATTATTATTATTCGTATCATACTTTGAAATTTTAAGGGATGACCTGGGGTAGTGAAGCTTATTGGGCTCCGTTGGTTTGTTAAAAATGGCACATGTACGCCCCCCTTGTGTGTATATTTTGTATTAATTTATCTGGAAAGTAAAATTATTCGACAAGAAAATTTATCTTTTGTGGTTATAAGATTTGGTTTGTATTTAAAGTTAATCATCACACCTACTAAGTGCACATTGTTTTGTTGATAAACTGACTAAAGTATCCAGTCTAGTAATTTGATTTTAAATACTATTTGGTTCTAATAAAATGGCGAGGGAAGCGAGCCAAAAATTTTTTTGAATTGAAGACTTTTGAGATTAAATTACACGTAAATAAAAAGGTATTTTTACAATATTTTGGATTATTAGAATCAAGGTCAGTTATTTATTTTCTCTGTAGTGGAGGAAAAATTATTTATTTTCAACATTTTCAGGGACATATTATTTATTTCCAAAATCTGCCAGCCCCCCCCCCCCCCCTTTAGAATGAAATGGTCGTCCCCTAACTTTCAAAGAGTTATCACAGAGAAAAAAAAATTAAAAATGGAAATATTTACCAATCACCTCTATAACCTTTGTTGAGTACATCACACAAGTAAGAAAAACAAGATTTTTAATTGAAATAATTTTAATGAGCGTTATAAAGCATATAACATTTTTACATGTACAGACTCTCTCGTATAAGAAAATGTCACGTTTTACACATACAATAAATAAATACAATTTGTTCACATGACCACATTTTCCCCATTTACACATTTGGAAAGAATTAGTGCATAATGAACCATAAAATAAATTAATACATGTAAGGCAATTCACAAAATATATTTTAAATACAAATTTAATACATTTTAAATGCATGTACATATTAGCAATGCCCCCCTTTCAAAGTCTTACAACTTCTTTTTTAATTTTGAATCTGTTTTAAATGTTTTACTGTAAGTGTCTCTAGATTTTTTATCATACAGCTGATATCTTTTATATCTGTTATATATTTTTTTTAGGGATTTATATTTTAACAGTTTTTGTTTCATTTTAAAGTAATTTTGTCTATTTTGTTGTTGTTTTAGATGACAGCCCACTCTACTTCCTTTTAAAACAGGTGTGTGAGACAAAGTTCTACTACTTGTTATACAATTTGGATTTGATTTTACGTATGTCCTATTTAGAGATTCAGATTTTTGTGTACAAGTATGATATTTGAGTCAAGATATTTGTCCTAAAGAAAATTTATAGAGTCTTTTCACAACATTTCAGGAGTTTTATCCCCTTGATTTAAAGTTCAATTACTAGGCAAAACTGAATGCATTTCCCTTGCAGCTTTTCAATCCACAACAGAGAAAAGAAATAAAGTACATGACTTAACGCATCATCTTGGTAGCAGTTTATTAGGGAACCAACCACAGTAGACATAGCACGCTTCATCAAAGGTGAGTCGCCGGAGTAGTGTTTGTAGCAATTGTCGCACTGATCTGTGCTGCATCGAAGCTTTAGGTCCAAGGCAAATCCTCTCTTCATGCATTCTCTTATAATGGCCTTGGTTCTTTCAATTGTGACTGCTGAAATTGTAGATTTAGCACTTTTTCTTTGAGATGTCAAAAAAATGACACAAGTCTTTATTTCAATTACATGTCCTTGTTTTCCATGCAATTCTAATAGTCGTACATTCACCACTGATTGGCAATATCACAAAGGATAGCCGCACGACATTTACATGCATATTATTTTCTCCTTAGCGTCAGACATAATTCAATTTTTATGCATGTCGAAGATTTGCATGATATCTAGGCCTCCTTAAATCCTGAATTATTTATTTAATTTACATAATCGGCAGAATTATCAAGAAATAAACTCATGTAACTTTCAAAGAGTTATAACAGAGGGAAAAAAATTAAATGGAAATATTTAAAATCACCTCTGTAACCTTTGTTGTGAACATCACACAGGTAAGAAAAACAAGATTTTTGAATTGAAATAATGTTAATGAGCTTAATAATACCAACACATTATAACATTTTTACATCTACAATGGTCTCTCAGTATAAGAAAATGGTTGCACGTTTTACACATGGACAGGTAAATAAATTTCCTTTGTTCACATGACCACATTTTCCCCATTTACACATTTGGAAAGAATTAGTGCATAATGAACCATAAAATAAATTAATACATGTAAGGCAATTCACAAAATATATTTTAAATACAAATTTTATACATTTGAAATGCATGTACATATCAGCAATGCCCCCCCCCCCTTCACAGTCTTACAACTTCTTTTTTAATTTTGAATCTGTTTTAAATGTTTTACTGTAAGTGTCTCTAGATTTTTTATCATACAGCTGACATCTTTTAGATCTGTTATATATTTTTTTTTTAGAGATTTACATTTTAACAGTTTTTGTTTCATTTTAAAGTAATTTTGTCTATTTTGTTGTTGTTTTAGATGACGGCCCACTCTACTTCCTTTTTAAACAGGTGCCCCGACAGTTTACAAAGTTCCAGCGTTCCCCTATTCGGTGAGTGCACAACTTATATGTATTCTACTTTCAAATTTCTACTACTATACAATTTGGATTTGATTTTAGATATATCCTATTTACAGATTCAGATTTTTGTGTAAAAGTATGATATTTGATTCTGTCAAGATTATTTTGTCCTAAAGTCAAATTTATAGAGTCTTTTAACAAACATTTGTCTTTTTTTGTTATGTTTAATTTAAAGTCACTAGGCAACACTGAAGATTTCCACTTATCAGCTTTTCAATCCACAACAGGAAAAGAAATAAAGTTGACAGGACTTAACGCACTCTCCCTGGTAGCAGTTTATTAGAGAACCAACCACAGTCATAGCACTCTCTCTCTCTTGAGTCGCCGGAGTAGTTTTGTAGCAATTCTCGTACTGATCTGTGCTGCATCGAAGCTTTAGGTCCAACACACAAATCTTCTCTTCATGTATACGTGCTCTTATTTAATGGCCTATGGTCAATCTTAATCGGAAATATGTTTTTATGCTGAAAAACCTTATGCCAATGTTTTCTTAATTCCTTTAGAGTCAAAAAATAAACACAACTCTTTAAGGTTTCAATGCATCGAAGCACTCTCTTGGATGTCCTTGTTTTTCATTTTTACTCTCTACCATGGGCTTAAATCATACATTCACCTCTGTGTCGTTGGCTCGCGTATATCACAGTGATAAACACGAGAAATAGTGCGTTTATTCTAATTCATTATAATTCAATTTTTATGCTTATGTCTAAGTTTTGAGATAGATATCTACTCAATAAATCCAGAATTATTAATTTAATTTGAAATAATCCTGCAAATATCACGTTTTATACGTTATGTCAAAACTCTTGACGTGAGCCCATTGCAGAGGTGTCTGAGAGAGGAAAGAACTACAACTCTGCATAGGAGATTGGTTTTTCAGATGCACCAGATGCAGCGGCACTGTCTCCATCATTGGTGAAATGGGATATGATTAGTGGACGGTCATCACTTAGTAACTCACCAACACAATTAGTGGCCCATCTCTTCTCATCTCCAATGGTGGTCTCAGGAGGAATGGTTGCAGTGCAGTCTTCATGTCCTGGACAGGTAACTTCCTTTCCTTTGCTTCGTACATGTAGGTGTGCGCCTTTCTTACAAAGTTTATTCCCACAGAAAACTGCAACCACATTTTACCTCTGAGTTACATTTTCACCTATGGTGTATAAGTCACTTGGGTCGCAGCTTGGAATGGTTTTTTTTTCAATGGCACTGAATGCGGCATTATTGTACCAAGCATCTCCTTCCATTCTGCATGATGGGGGTATCCGGAAGTCCACATTTTTCATTATAAGTTCTTGAATGTTCGTCCAAATTTTCTTCATACTGTTTTTATTTACATCGGTTATAATTTCCCCATCTTGTTGCAGGTCTGTTGCATGTTGGCGGCTGATGCTGGTTCAATAT